GCCCAGAAAGGGCAAGCACGCGACCATGGAGCACTGCTGTGGATCCACTGGTGCTTTTTTGTTTGTTTTCTGGTTTACAGCCGACCCGCATGGTAAGGATGAGCGACGTTCCCAAGGGTACCCTGGCGTCCTTGCCTCCGCGGCCCATCCTTGGCCACTTTCGATGACCGCGCCTGGCCCGAAAAGCTTCGAGACGGCCCTGCAAGGCCCTTGCATCCTTTTCGCGCATCCTTTTGATACGGGCCGACTATAAAGTGCAAGTGCGCGGCCATGGAGCACTGCTGTGGATCCATTGTTATGATGCTCCAACCTACCTTAGCCTCGATCACCAGAAAGAGTACCGACACTCGGGGGTTTTCATCTGTCGGGCCTTGGGAGGCGATACTCGTTCGACACTGTTTCGATATTCTCTGGGTGCTCGAAATTGTTTCTGGGATGTGGTCCTTAGGTACGATGGGAGCAACATAAACCCATTGGTGTCTTTTTTGATTTCTCAGGTTCATCACCGTAGCCCTGCAGCAAGGGCGACAGGAGGAAAAGCCACGAGAGGATACGAGGCGGGGAGAGGGCTGCTAGTTCGCCAGTTTTTCGCCACTGCCCGTCTACTGCGCGCCGACAGTCGGATTCTGAGCCTCAGAGCTCTCGCCGGACAGCGTGCTCAACCCCTGCGGCGCCCAGTGCCAGTCGCCGGCGAGTCCGGGGAACCCGAGCTTGGCCATCTTCGAGCTCGGCGGGGCCTCAGGCGACCTGTACTGCACGAGGCTGATGGGTGGGTGGGCGGCGGGGGCGTCACCCGTGTCGGGTGATGCCAGAAGTGCTCCTGGCCCAAGGTGCCCACAGCTCTTCGCTCCACTGCGGAGCTCCTGGCGCCCTCTGGGCCTCGTGAGGGGTGCCTTGGAGTCCGTGGGGGCCTCCTTGGAGATCCTGGGGGCGCCTTGGGCCAGGGGCCCTTCTAGCAGCACCCGGCCAGAGGTCCCAAGCCTGTGGCCGTTCTTTGTATCAGTGGCGGCTCACCGCCGTCGTGAGGGCATGGGTTGGCTGAGGGTCGAGGGTCGAGGGTCGAGGATCGAGGGTCGAGGATCAAGGGTCGAGAATCGAGGATCGAGGCTCGAGGGTCGAAGGTTAGCTGAGGCAGCCGCGTTCTTCGGGGGCGTCGGCCCTGCTCCCCCTGGGAGCTCTCGCCAGCACCTGGCCCTGCGGGCGTGCTCGCGGCGGCTGCCACTGCAGTCAGCACGCTGGCACGAGGGCCACCTTGGGGTCTCCGTCCTCCGGGCCCCTCCTCAGAGCTGGGTCGCGGGGCGGACCTGCTCGTGGCCGAGGCTCGCCGTAGGCCGAAGGGCCCCTTCGTTCCTCATTCAGCGCTCTCTCTCTCTCTCTCTCTCTCTCGAGGTATGACAAACGCCATAAGCATCTTGTGTCATCTGCATTGTCGTTACCTGCGTCCGCTTCCACACACTTGGTGAGGAAGAAAACGGCTTTCAAGTGCAACTGGCATTCGCGTTACGACGGTGGTTCTTGAATCATGCGGTCCGCTCCCATCTTCTCCCTCACCAATAAAACTTCTGCCGCTCCGCGCGGATTTCTTGGATCCGCGCCGAGCCCCCCAGCGGCGCCTCCGGCGGCGCCCCGCGCGCCGGGAAGGAGGGTCCGGCGCAGATCCACGAAATCCGCGCGGACCCCCAAAAGTTTATGTTTATGCAGTTCTCCGTTCCTCGAATCTTAAGTCGGGCCTGTCCCTCTTCAGGGGGAATATCCAAAAATAGTAAAAAATAGTCTGGGGATTATTTTTGGACCATTTTGGGGAATTTGTAGGGCGTTTTGGAGGTATTTTTAATTGTTCGTCCAAACTTGGCCTGAAGGGGGCCAGGCCCGACTTAACTCTAATTCTCGGTCGTGGGACCTATTCGTGGCCGAGGCTCGCCGTGGGCTGAAGGGCCCCTGCGTTCCTGCTTCGGGGTCTCTCTCTCTCGCGGCCTGGTGGCCGCATGGCCGCTTCCCTGTGCGTGCCCAGCCAGGTCGCGCGCCCTCGCAGGGCGTGCGGCCAGTCGGGGTTGGGTGTCCGCCTCCGCGTCTGGCCGTCGTGGGAGGGGGGCGGGGCGCTGTGGGGAGGCCGTCGTCGTGGGCGCCCGTCGTGGGGGCCCTGCGAGTCGGGTCTGTCGCGGGGGCCGTGGAGTCGGCTGTCGTGGGGGCCGTCGTGGCGGGGCCGTCGTCGTGGGTGGGCGGTGGGGGCCGTCGAGTCGGGTGGGTCGTGGGGGCCGTCGGATTGGGCAAAGGGGGCCGCGGGGGCCGTCGCGGGGGCCGTCGGGGGGGAAGTCGTTGGGCAGGGGGTCGTCAGGTCGGCGGTCAGGTCGTCCGTGGTCTGGGCCGGCCAGGCGTGCGTGAGGGAAGCGACGTCCGCGCAGCCGAGGAAGTCCCAGTAGTGGGTCGGGTGTGGGGCGCGCGCCGGGCGAGACGTGGGGTTAGGGAGTGGGGTAGGGCGTCGGTCTGGGTGTCGCGGAGAGCGTCGGGGAGGGCATCGGGAGGGGCGCCGTCTGGGCCGTCGGGGGGGTCGGGTGGGGTGTCCCAGGGAGTGGCCTCGGCTGTCCTTGTGGCCGCTTCCCAGTGTATGCCTTCCTCGGACTCCCGCTCAGGGCATGCGGGCAGTCGGGATTCGTAGCGTGCCGGGGCGCAGACGGCGCCGCCCGATGGTAGTCCATTTCGCTTGGGTGTCTTTGCGCTGCTTGCCTTGAAGCATGCGTTTCTGAGGCCGCCAGCCGTGTGAGCAAGGGCGCTGGGCTCGACAAAATTTGGCATGCACGCATGCAACACCTTTCGATTCTTCAGCGCCCGTCGGGCGCCCGCGTCCACACGCGGGGGAGGGACCTTGCAGCCACCGCCAATCGGGCCAGGGCGGCGCGCGAGAGGACTGAACCACTCCCCGGAGAAGGCAAGTCCCCAGGGACCTCAGAACGCCGCGCCCGCCTGGCGCCCGAGGCAGGCTTGGGTGCAGATGGCAACGGAGGAGAAGAAAGAGGGAGGAGGAGGAGTAGGAGGAGGAGGCGGAGGAGGAGGAGGAGGAAGACCAGTGTAGACCCAATAATCATCAACGATGTCGCAAGACGCCCTCCCTCCAAGTTCCTTCTTCATAGGCTTCTACAAGAGTTCATTTTTCTATAGGGAAGTGCCCCGTTGGAAGACCTGAACCGTGACAGATCACCCTGCCTGGGATTTCAGCGCCGCGAATCAACGTTGCTGCTGTGTCATGACGATCCTGAACCGTACCAGAACACCATTCCTGGGACTTCAACACCGCGAATCAACTTGACTGTTGCACCCTGATGGTCCTACATCGTGCCAACATGTTATTTCTGGGACGTCAACCATACGAATCCTTGAAACTGCTGTGAGCTCTGAAGACCGGTGTGCGCGGTGCGAGTGATCGCTTTCTTATTTTTTTTTTGGCCGATCGGCGCGGGCCCTCGCCCCCCCCCCCCCTCCCCCCCTCCGTGGAGTAGATATAGGCTGTTTTTGGCGCTTGTTTAACGCAGGCGAAGCCTCCCTCATAGGTCGCACTGTTGCAAACAGTCGCATTAAGCAAAGGTCCGGAGCCAGACCCCCGCCTCCCGCCCCCTTCCGCCCAACGTCGAAACGCCGAATAAGAAAACGCTCACTTAAGGCGGGAGCCGCCTTTTGAAAAGGTACTGCCCTCCATCCGCCACGCTCTTGCAAATTTTACGACGCAGGTTCGCGGCGCCATTGCGAGAGCCACATTTGGAAAAAAGTGTCGAACGCCCTCCGCGAAGTTCTTGCAGA